GCCAGCCTGGTCTACATAGTGAGTTCCAGGTCAGCTGGGGCTACAGGGAAACCCTATCTCAAAAAGACCAAAAAAAATTTTTTTTATTATTTATTACTTTTATTTTATGTGTGTATGCTGCCTGCATGTACGTAAATGCACCTGTGTTGTGCATGCTCATGGAGGACAGAAGTCATTGGATCTCGGGGAACTCAGAGTCCCTGGAACTGGAGTTACAAACCATTGTTAGCTGCTATGTAGGTGCCGGGAACCAAACCCCTGTCCTCTGTAAGAGTAGCCAGTGCTTCTAACCTCTGAGCCATCTCTCCAGCCTCTGGATTTTTAAATTTTGTTCTTGTTTTTGTTTTTGTTGTTTTGGTCTTTTTTTTAAGACAGAATTTTAAAAAATATTTTATATTATTTTTATTTTATGTATATGCATATATTGCCTGCATGTAGGTAAGTGCACCCATGTCATGCAATGCCCTCGGAGGACAGATGGGGCTGTCGGATGCCCTGGGACTGGAGTTACAGACAGTTAGTTGTTAGCTGCCATGTGGGTGCTGGGAATTGAACCTGGGTCTTCTGCAAGAACAGTCAGTGTTCTTAACTGCTGAGCCATCTCTCCAGCCCCCTAATCAGAATTTTTAATGTAAACCCTCATTTTGTTTTTAGGTAAATTCTTTTTTAAATATTTTATTTATTATTTTTATTTTATGTGTATGAGTGAATTGTCTGCATGTAAGTGCACCCGTGCCTGCAGAGGTCATAAGAGGGTTTGGATCCCTTGGAAATGGAGTTAGAGGAGCTTCTGTGTGGGTGCTGGGGGTACTGGGAATCGAACCCGGGTCATCTGCAAGAGCAGCCAGTGCTCTTAACTGCTGAGCCATCTCTCCAGCCCCTGTTTTTTTGGTCTTTTTGAGACAGAGTCTCCCTGTAACCCCAGCTAGCCTGGAACTTGCTTTGTAGACCAGGCTGGCCTTAAATTCACAGAGATCCGCTCGCCTCTGCCTCTTGAGTGCTTCTATTAAAGGCATGTAGCACAACACCTGGCTGGACTTGTATTTTTTTGAGACAGGATCTCACTCTGTAGCTCAGGCTAGTCTGGAACTCATTAGATAGCCCAGGTTGAATTCAAACTCATAGCAATTCTCTGCCTCAGCCTCTCAAGTGAATGACAGGAGGGAACCACCATACCCAGCTTCCTCTTTACTTTTTAAAAAAATATGTTCTACATTATTTTATTTTTTTTGTGTATGAGTGTATTGCCTGCATGTGTGTAAGTGCACTGGTGTCATGCAATGGCCATGGAAGTCAGATGAGAGCATCGAATTCCCCTGGAACTGGAGTTAGAGATTGTTGTTAGTCACCATGTGGGTGCTGGTAATCAAACCTGGGTCCTCTGCAAGAGCACTCAGTGCTCTTAACTACTGAGCCATCTCTCCAGCTCCCTCTTTACTTTTTAAAAAATTTGTTTTGTTTTGAGACAGACTCTTGTGTAGCTCTATCTGGTGTCAAACTTATTATGTGGGGTTGGGATGATGGCTCAGCAGTTAAAGCACTTGCAAGTATGAGAACTAGAGTTCAGAGCCCTAGAACCCCATGTAAATGCTTGATTGTGCATGGTAGTCCACCTGTAATCCCAGCCTCAGATGGTAGAGACAAGGCATCCCCAGGGCAAGCTAGCCAACAAGACTGACTGTATCTGAGAGCTCTGGGTTTGACTGAGAGACCCTTTCTCAATATGTGATACAGCAGAAGAGCCATTGAAGATGATTCCTTACATCAGTCTCTGGCCTCCACATGCACACATGTATGTGCATCCCTGTCCACACACATGTAAAAGGAAGCATACACATATCACACACATATGAAAGATAGGAAAAGAACCTTGTTATGTGGCATCTTGTTATGGGAACTTCCGGTCTTCCTGCCTCTACTCCAGAGTGCTGGGATTATAGGCATGCCCCACCATACCCGGTTTATGAAATTATAGGACTCCAACCCAGAGCTTCATGAAATCAAGATAAGCACTCTCCCAAGGGACCTTCATCCTCTTCATTTTACTTTTACTTTTTAAAATTTTGTTTTATTTTTTATTTATGTGTATGTGTGTGTCTAAGTATGTGTTTTCATATGTGTATGCACGTGTGTGTACAGGTGCCCACAGGGGCCAGATTGGGTGTTAGATGCCCAGGAGCTGGAATTACAGGCAGTTGTGAGCACCTGATGTGGGGGCTGGGAACCAAATTTGGTTCTCTGCAAGAGCAGCAAGCATTCTTAACCACTGAGCCATGTCTTCAACCCCTGTCATTTAATTTGTGTGTGTGTGTGGTATATGCATGTTTGTATAGTGTGTTCATGTGAGTGAAAATGCACATGTGTGTCTGTGCACGTGGAGACCAGAGGTCAATATCCGGTATCAACCTTCAGAGCATACCACCTTCCTTTTTATTATTTATTTATTTATTTATTTATTTATTTATTTATTTATTTATTGTGTGTATGTGTGGGAGGGGGTTGCATGTGAGTGCCATGGTCTGCATATGGAGGTTAGAGAACAACTTGTGGGAGTTGGTTCTGTCCTGCCAATGTGTAGTTCTTGGGGATTGAACTCAGTCATCAGGTTTGGCAGTAGATGCCCTTACCTGCTGAGCCATCTTACCAACACTTCACCTTATTTTTTGAAACAGAGTCTTTCACTGAGCCTGAAACTTATCGATTCAGCTAGGTTGACTGCCCAATGAGTTTCAGGAATCTACCTGTCTCGGCCTCTCCCTAGTGCTGGGGTTACAAATCCCCCCTCCCATTTTTACATTGGAACTGGTGATCCAAACGCAGGTCCTCATGCTTGTGTGGCAGGCACTTTACTGAATCAGCCATCTCCAGCTCCTCTCTAATTTTTAAGTAAAACAATTGATCTATATCTTTTTTCATGTGTAATATCCTGTTAGAATTGAAAACTGAAAAAATTTCACACAGGAGTACTTAGCCATGTATGATGGTTCATGCCTTTAATCCCAGCACTGGGGAGACTGAGACAGGAGGATTGAGAGTTCCAGGGTAGCTTGGGCTATGAGAAAGAGGGAGAGAGAGAGGGAACGGAGGAGGAAGGGGGGGAGGGAGAGGGAGAGGGAGAGAGAAGAAGAGAGGAAGAGACAGAGACAGAGACACAGAGAGAAAGGAAAAGAAAAGAATACACAAGCTCACAAACTCCTATTAACAGCAATGATATCATTCTGGAAAACTACTGTATATTTTTTGCTTGTTTTGGGACAAGATCACACTGTAGCCCAGGCTGGTCTAGAATTCACCATGTGTGCATGCCGGTCTTGAACTCATGGTGATCTTCTTGTGTCAGCTTCCTGAATGCTGGATTGTAATCCTATGGTGGATTACAGGTATAAGCCACCATACCCTGTTCTACCATACAATTTTGAGAGGGTGATAATAAAATATTATTATAAAAATGGTTTTGACCTCATGGATACTTCTGAAAGGAGTTCAGGACAACAAGTCCCCAGACCACACTTTAGATCCATTGCTAGGGCCCATCAGCTTTTCATCATGACTCACACTTGTTGATTTTTCTTTCTTATTTTTATTAGGAAAATACAAATGTATGTCTTCCCAGGGGGTCTTGTCCCCAAATGAAAGTTAGAGAACTTCTTAGGCTCAGCACCCCTTTTTTCTGGACTCCTAATTCCAGGTCTTTTTAAAACACCCTCCCTCAGCACCTTGATGGTCTTTCTGTTGACCCTACCTCAAAGCACACAGTAGTCCCTGTCCTAAGTCAACCTGCTTGTTTGCCTTTTCCCAATCTGCTGGGCCCTGTCCTTCTTCCTTGTACTGAGGGATTTTTTTTTTCTTGGGAGAGACTAAGAATCTTTTTTCTGCCTTCTTCCTTCCCTCCCACGACAGCCCCTGCTGTCCTCTCACAGCACCTAGCGTGGGAAATCATGCTGCCCCAGGTAGTCCCCTTTAGAGGAAACACTTTACCCATATGCCCACACATCAAACAGCCTGAAATAGGCCAGAATCTGGGACAAAAATTTGCCCATTTGAGTTCCATAGGGGTCAACCCACTTATATAGTTCCAGATAGTCTGTTGGGTGTAGGTGTGGATCAGGAAATTTGATGCTTCCAGACACAGGAGTCCCTTGCCTGGGAACTCCCAACTTGAACCCTGATCTTCACTCTGAACCCCCAGGTCCTCTTGCTAGCTGCAGCCACAGGCCTCTACTACCATATCTGGCACATCTGTCTTGACCACATTGCCATTATGGTCCAGGTAGAGGAGTGAGAGAGGTCTTCGAGCAGTGGGCACACAGCAGGAAGAGCCCACAGGCCAAGGGTTGTTGGCCTTGAGGAGGCTAAAGACAGCAGAATGGAAGGAGGCAGCAATGCCAGGGCTGCCAGCCAGGTGGGGTGGGCACTGCCCACTGCAGTAATTCAGCTGGTATCCCTCAGGCTGCAGGATCCAGTCTCGCCACCCCAGTTCCTGGAAGTCCACATAATGATCTCTTCTACAACATAAGGGGGTCTCAGGCTCACAGGTGGGGGTCCTTCTCCTGACTCGGCCTGCTTCAGGTTCATTGGTTCCAATCTTGAGTTCTAGGAAGGGATGCTGGTGTCCTGTCATGTCCAGGAGAGGCCCTGATTGTCCAATAACTGTACTGTTGCTTTCCAGAGGTCTGTAGTCCAATCGAAGTTTCAGAACGCCAGACTCCTCACCCTTCAGACCACTAGAGGGCAGAGTCAGGGCGTGCCAGCCAGTCGTAGTCATTTGGTGCTTAGCTAGGAGGGTGCGGGACCCTTGGTACCCCCTCCTTGTGCCGTATCGGAAAATCCTCAGGTATAGAGTACCAGGAAGGGAAGGAAGCACGTGCAGCCAGAGGCGGGCGTGGTACAGGTGTCCGGACCAAAGAGGGGAGAGATGGAAGGTGAGCATGGAACTGTAGGTCGAAGTGGAGGCTGCTCAAACGACAGAAAAAGGAAAGAAAAATGTGAACAAAGTTCCCTTCTGACCTCCCCTCTTCCTGCCCACCACTGTCCCTCAAACAGACCTTCAGAAAGAGCAGGGACTGCCTGTGTCTTCACACCCATACTTGCCCTCAGCTCCTCCTCCTCTTGCCACACCCCAGTCCTTCTCCCTTTTCTGCCAGGCTCCTCTTCTTCCTCCCTTTCTCTGTCACTCTCTCCTCACCCACCTACAATGGTAGCAAAGCTGATGACTTCTTCTTCATTGCCTGGAGCCACACTCACAGGCTGCAGTCTTCGAAGGGCTCTGGTCAGCGCTGCCTGGGGTGGAGGGTGAGTTATTCTGGGACGACTCGTCAGGTGTAGCCCCTCCAGGATTTGCTGCTTGGCTAGCTCCAGGACCAGAGCATGTTCTGCTTGGGGTGCCAGTGTTGGACCCCCACAGGAGGGGCATGCAGATCTTATGCCCTGTACCCAAGCCAGTGTCCACAGTAGTACTGGCCAGAGCTGGACGTCTGGGAGCTCCATCTTCCAGGTGGATGGCCCTGAGTCAGGAGCCTCAGATGGCAGTTGCACGTCTAATGAGTCTGATTTCGTGGGAGCCAAAGAGGGTACAGAAGCAGCAGATGGCAGTGTCACAGCAACCCCTGAGTAAGGGTACAGCCACTTGTATTCGATGGCCTGCAGCTCAGGAATGCTGAAAGATCATCTGATGATTAGCTATGTTTGGCCCTCACAGTTCCTGACTGGCTACTGAGCAGGGCCTCTTTAGAGCCAAGTGCCTGGGCTTCCTCACCTAGTGGTTAGCCAGCAAACCTACCGTCTGAGCCTTAGGATTGGCCAGCTGCACTGCCCATCTGGCCCCTGCAGGGGGTGGAGGTCTCCCCTGGAGCTCGGGTTTCACCATCTGGCTGTAGTGGCTTGAGGTAAGGGCATAGGGGGTGCAACGTGGACATGCATGATGCAAGAAAGAGGATGATTTCACATGCTCAGTTCCCAAGGTCTGGGACTCAGAGGAGGGACTCCAATATGAGCCAGATGGGGAAGAGCGGTTCCCCCATATGTTCTGTCTTCCTGTCTTGCCTTCCACTGCTGTAACAATTCTGTGAGGTAGCTATGGGCTCCAGTGGTTATATCTTTGGGGCCTTTAGGTCAGAAGAATAATTCTGGTCTCTATTCCTAGCACTAGAGCTGGGATAGGCATGAGGGTTTGAAGGGGGAGGTAGGAAAATGGAATCTTCTTGTTCAGGCCAAGGTGGCATGCCACGGGACACAGACGTCACCCCTTGACCCTGCCTGTGCTAGCTGCTCAGAGTCCAACTGGACTGGAGCACAACGTGGATGAAGGCCAGAGCAAGAGGTGAGGACGTGCTTCTGTGATGTCTGGGGAAACCCAGAGAGGTGGGGGTGGTAGTGATGCAATGTTACAGGAGGGCAGAGTCCATTAAGACTGGCAGAAGGGCATGTGACTTTGCAGAGTCTATGCCCAGTAACTACTTCTCTTTCAGAGTGCTGTAAGAGCTGCCTAAGTTTGAGGCACCCTTGGAGTGGTACCAGGCCTTGATTAATGGGGTCAGAAAATGGAAGTTTAAGGGATTTTGAGAACAAAGCAAGAAAAGCACAGTAGCTTTAACTTTTAGTCAATCCCAGCCCTCCTTACCATGCTGCCTCACTGATTTTTTTTAAAGTACATGTGTGTATGTGTGTGTGTGTGTGTGTGTGTGTGTGTGTGTGTGTGCGTGTATGTGTGGAAGTTGGAGGACAACCCTAGGTGTCACACTTAAGAAGATTGTTCACTCTTTTTTTTTGACAGGGTCTCCCCAGGTGACCTGGAACTTGTTATGTAGACCAGGCTGGCCTCAGTCTCACAAATGCATACCTCTGCCTCCCTAGTGATGGGATCAAAGGCCTGTACCACCATGCCCCACTTTCGTCTACCTAAATAAATTTTATTTATTATTTTTATTTTGTGTATATTAGTGTATTGCCTGCATGTGTGTGAGTGTACCCGTGTTGTGCAATGCCGTGGAGGTCAGAAGAGGGCTTTGATTTCCCCTGGAACTGGAGTTAAGGACGGTTTGTAGCCGCCATGTGGGTGCTGGGAATCGAACCCAGGTCCTCTGCAAGAGCAGTCAGTGCTCTTAACTGCTGAGCCATCTCTCCAGCCCCCAATCATCTACCTCCTTTTAAAAAATATTTTATTATTTTTATTTTATGTGTATGAGTGTATTGCCTGCATGTAGGTAAGTGCACCCGTGTCGTGCAATGCCCAAGGAAGAAAGAAGAGCCTGTTGGATCCCCTGGAACTAGAGTTACGGACAGTTGTTAGCTGCCATGTGGGTGCTGGGATTCAAACCTGGGTCTTCTGCGAGAACAACCAGTGTTCTCAACCGCTGAGCCATATCTCCAGCCCCTCATCTATCTCCTTTGAGACAGGGTCTTCTCATTAGCCTAGACGTCACCAATCAGACTAGACTAGCTGGCCAACGAGTCCCAGAGATCTCTTCTCTGTGCCTCTCCAGCCCTGGGATTTCAAGTTCAGGTTACCATTTTTATCTGGGTTCTGGGGCTCTAACTCAGATCCTTGACCTTGCAAGACATGTGCTTTACCGACTGAGTCATTCCCCAAGCTCTGATTGTTTGTTTGTTTGAGACTTTGAGAGTTTGAGACAAGGCCTTACTAGGTAGTTTGGTTGGCCTTGAGCTCATGGAAATTCTCCTGCTTCTGCCTCCTGAATACGGGGATTATAGCCTTGTACCACCATACTTAGAAGACTACAATCTCCTTAGTAGCTGAGACTACTGGCAAATGACTATGTTTTTGTTGCTTATTTTATTTTTTGAAACAGAATCTCATGTAGCCCAGGCTGGCCGTGAACTTCCTATATAGCCAAGGATGACCTTCAATTTCAGATCTTGCCAAGTGCTGGGATTATAGACATGTACCACCATGCCTATTTTTTATCCTGTGCTGAGGCTTGAACTCAAGGCTTTGTGCATGCTAGACTCTACTAACTGAGCTACATACCCAGCCCTAACGTGCATGACCTTAAATGGGAGTGAGATGGACCCTCCACCATCTCTGATCTAAGAGGATGGGCATCAGGCTAGCTTTTCTCCTTAACCCCCTACCCCCAATTTCTTTAAGAGGCTGGGGAGGCCACAGGGAGAAAGCTATAAGGAAAGGGAGTATGACTTAGAACTGTGTCCCCATTTCACTTCTTCATCTTCCCCTTGTTTAGCTGGTAGGGTTGTCTAGAGAGTACTAGATCTGGACCAGGGGAGACAAGTGTTCTTTGAGGGCTGGGCCTCAGTACCATCAGTGTCCACCATGTGGCAGTGCCATGCCACTGGACCTCAGCTGTCTTATGGTTGGAGATAGGGATGGAGCTGCTAGGAGAATGGAGAGTGGGGAGTGCATCTCACTCTCTCAACTTTGGGGATCCTGCATCCCCCACAAAGAACTGATTCCTCTTCTCTCTTCCTTCACCACTACCAGAAAGCAGGGTCTATCCTCAGTACCACATCACTGCAGCCTTTGACATGTATTAATGGAGCTCTGTGGTAGGGACCAGGCTCTTTCTAGAGACTCAGGGTACCATGTGGTGGGGAGGGAGGAGAAGAGATTAGGAGACACTCCTGTCTGCCCGCCTTTCTCCCAGGCCCTGAAACATATTCAAGACCTCTGGCTAGTGCTCTCCACATCTCTCAGCTCCCCCTCTGTTGTCACTGCAGGTAAGTGGCAGCCTACTAGCTCTTGGGGTCTAGAATATGAGCCCGTAAGGCAGATGAGTCGGCCTCTGGAGGTGCCTGGGAGGGCTTACTTGATGGTGCCAGGAGACAGACTCAGGGGAAGTAACAAGAAGTGGCTGTAGGAGTCACTGGCACCACCTTTCCCACACCCTCTCTGTCAGATGCCCCCAATTTCCAACTCTTCCCACCCCCTTTCTGTTGCTCCTGGCCTGGCCCTACCTCCTCGCTGACACTTACGTCAGAACTCAGCTATAAATATGCTCTTAGCATCTTAGTCACTTTTCCCAAGAAGTGCTCCCAGGTTATAAATACACAGGCATCTGCCACACTGCCTGTCTTACCACCAAGCTGGCTGGGGGCTGGGGGATAGCGACAGGCTCAGGAGTGGGTAAGAAAATAGAGGAAGTAGGAATGCTTAATCCAAATGAAATCAGCCTGATGCAGTCTAGAGGTAGGGGCCAGCGAGCTGGGGGAGAAAATGTTTAGAAGACATCTTCTCATTCTCCTTTTTTATGAAAAGCAGAACCAAAATACAAAGCAAATAATATGAATCCTGTGTTTATTTTAAAAATATGCTGTTTTGTGAATCGTGGATTTGCTGCGCTAACGTTGATGTTTGAAAACCTTGAATTAAAATACTGCTTATCTTAATTGATGAATTGTTTGCCTTCACCTTAGAATTTTGTCCATAAGGCGAGTGCCTCACTTTGCCTTACCCTGTCTTCGTCCTACATAGGTACTGCAGTTAGGAGGGAGGGCGCTAGATCTGAGAAAGAAATGAAGGTGTGTGGAGGAGGGTCACTGACAAAAGAGAGACGGAGAGACACCAGGAAATTTGCTGAGATTAAGGTCTTCTCAGGTCAAAGGCACGTTGACTTCCATGGGTTGCCGAAGAAGGCCCACAGCTCAGACTTGCATCTCCCCAAAAGGTCCCTTGTAGATTTTCTCCTTTGCATTTCCATTACAGGGACCTCTTACTCTGGCAGAAGGGGATTACATGCTGAGCAAACACAGACATCACATTCTCCAAAGGACACATGGGTTTTGCGCAAACCTGGCCTTGGGCTGCAGACAATATCGACCCCATGGTTCAAGGCTGTCCAGCCAAAGTGAGGAGATGATGGGGGAAGAAGGGCAAAGGTCCAAAGAGGACCAGGTCTCAGCGTAAATGCTGACCTTTCTTTATCCCAGGCCTTCCTCTTCATCTTATTCCACCCAAGCTTCCAGGCAGGACTCATGGCTAGAGCTCTAAGAGTAGATAAAAGGAAGGCTAGCCAGAGGATCCCATAGTCAGCTCTGAGCATGCTTCTGCCTCCTACCACATGTGTCTTCACAGTGTTAGCTTACTTGACAGTTGGTCATTGATCTATTTCATCTCTTGGAGTGAGTACAGAGGGAGACAGAAGCAGGCAAAAACTAGTTCATTATTAGCCATGAGACCCCTGGAAGGATGGAGGGAGACAAAGGAAGAAAGGAGGAGGCAGCCTGGAGGAGGAAGAGTCATGAAATATGAGATGGATATAACAGCTCAGCCCTGAGGCATCCATGTGAAGAGAGAGGAAGGCTCCAATTATCTGGGGGTATCCAGATACCCTAATAGGCGACAGAGACTCCTAATAGGAGACAGAGGACCCCTTCAGCTATCTCAAGAGGACTTGTGAAAGGAGTTATTTACAGAGGCTTAGGCAAGGTTAAGGGAACCAATGAAAAGGGTGCTCAAACAAGGGATTAGAAAAGAGGAAATCCCTCAAGACTCCCTAGTGTTGAAACAGTGATATTAGTTTAGAGCCCCCAAAACCTGGAGCCATGGGAGGGAGCCAGAGCTGTGGGGACACAGCACAACCATGGCTTGCAGGCAAATGGGGGGCAGGAGGAAGATATATTCGTTATCTTTTTCTTTCTTTTTTCTTTCCTTCCTCCCTTCCTTCCTGTTTGCTACAGGGGCTTACACAATGTAGCCCAGGCTAGCCTTGAACTTGCCAACCTCATTCCTTTTTTTTTTTTTTTTTTTGGTCTTTTTGAGACAGGGTCTCCCTGTAGCCCCAGCTGTCCTGGAATTCACTATATAGACCAGGCTGGTCTTGAACTCACAGAGATCCACCTGCCTCAGCCTCTTGGGTGCTGGGATTATAAGTATGAGACACTTTGCTTGACTGAAATATTCTGACCTCTGTATCTTCCTACTCATTAGTCTCCAACCTAGGTCTTCCCTTGCTAGAGGGAAGGAGGGCTCAGGTGATACGGCTCAGGTGAGTCAGCCTTCAATGGGAGACGATAGAGAAAACTGGAGGCTATGCCCCAGGAGAGAAGATGTGGTCATGAAGATGGTACAGTGACTCTCTTTAGATGTAGCTCTCCTAGAGTCAAAGGTGGGATAATCTGTCTGTTTAAGAAGAAGGAATTCACATTCTAGAGGCAGGAATATGACAACTCCCTCTTCGTGAAGAAGGGCATCTCCAAAGGACACATTTGTCCACTCTATTTTGGACTGCCTACACCATTAACTGCACCCACAGGCCTCTACCACCATGTCAGGTATGTCTGTCTTGACAATATTGCTGTCCCTGTCATAGTAAAGCAAAGACAGGGGGCGTCGCGCTGTGGGCACACAGCATGAGCCTCCTTCAGTGGTGCCAGCAGCTGTGTTGGCTTTGAGCAGATTGAGCACTGCAGTGTGAAATGACGCAGCAATGCCAGGCATGCCTGCCACATGTAGCGGGCACTGCCCTGTACAGAAGTTCATAGCATAGCCTTCGGGCTGGATGATCCAGTCATGCCAACCAATTTCACGGAAGTCTACAAAGAACTCTTGTCGACAGCACATGCTGGACCCTCCCTGGCAGTCGATGCCTCGTCGGCGAACCCTGTGCTTGCCCCCAGCTCGTACCTGGGCTGCCACAAAAGGCCTGTGGGCAACCCCACCTAGGATGACTGAACTCTGGGCCTCCTGGCTTTCAGGTACCAGCTCCAGGGTAAGGTGCCCCCAACTGCTAGCAGCCTGAGCTTCAGGTCCCAGGAGAACTTGATGCCAGCCACTGGCATCCACCTCCAGCAGGTGCTGAGTTGTCAACGTGAGGTTGGTATCATATGGTCTTAGCACAAGAACTCTCACATTTATGGTCTGGGTGGTATTGGGAGGGAGTTGCACAAAGAACATGAGGCGAGCCTGCTGGATCTCCATGCCACCAGTGGTTTTATCAGAGAAGTGGAAATCGAGACGAGTGTTGTTGATGCTGGAGAAGCCTGTGGACAGAAGAAGCCCTAGTCAAGTCATTGTGGCCGGCCTTAGCATCAATTCTAGCAACTACCTCTCTATTCTCTTCACACTTCAGATCTTTTTTTTTTTTTTTTTTTTTTTTTTTTAATTTTTTTTTTTTTTTTTTTTTTGAGACAGGGTCTTCCTGTAGCCCCAGCTGGCCTGGAACTCACTATGTAGACCAGGTTGGCCTTGATCTCACAGAGCTCTCACCTGCCTTTGCCTCCTGAGCCCTGGGATTAAAGGGATGCATCCCTCATGCCTGGCTTTTCTTCAGTTTTTTGAGGCAATAGCTCATGTAGTACAGACAAGCCTTAAACTCAATGTGCAGCTAAGGGTAGCCTAGAACTGATTCTCCTGCCTCCACTTTCAGAGTGCTGGGATTATAGGTCTGTATCATTATGCCCACCTTTTGTTTTAATTTAAAAAATTTGGGACTTATTCATTTTTATTTCATGTATATTAATGTTTTGCCTGCATGTATGAGTGCACCTGTGTCATGCAATGCCCGAGGAGGCCAGAAGAGGGTATTGGATCCCTCTGGAACTGGAGTTATGGATGGTTGTTAGCCACCATATGGGTGCTACGAACTGAACCTGGGTCCTCTGCAAGAGCAGCCAGTGCTCTTTAACTTCTGAGCTGTCTCTGTCCAGCCCCTTATTTTTAAACTTTTTATTGTGTGTGCTTGTATGTGTGCATGATGTGTAGGAGGGTGATCTCTCAGGGAAAAAAAAATCAAACAAAACTGCAACACTACCTCTAGCAGGTAGATTGAGGGGGTCAGTGCAGCCCAAGGCTGAAATCACTGAGCCAGGCCCCCTAGGACGTGGTCCTGCAGGATTCTGTCTTTATAGATTTAGAAACCCCCAGGGCCTAGCCTAGTTTGCTGTCTGCCATCCATCTCCTTGGTACCCAGATGTCAAAGCAGAGACTCAGGTTTCTGGAGGGCCTCCAGAATTTGGGAGAGCTTGGAGGACTGTGGGGAGAACAGGGGTCCCTGGCCCAGGCTCAGGCTATCCCACTGGGTCCCAGTCCTCCAAGTCACAGAACCTGGAACTGCTGTGCTCACAGCTAGGTGAGGACTCCTTGTTCCTAAAACAAGCCTGAACTGGTTTAGATTAGCAGCAATGGGTACTGTGATATTGTAGAACTCAGGGTCAGCGGGGTAGAGTGGTGCAGCATCCTCCTGCACCTCAGCTGTGCCTGCTCTGGTTTGCAAAGGCACTGGGTGAATCTCAACTTGCTTCTCCTTCAGGTTGAGGTCTAACAGTCCTGGACAGTCCTGGACCAGTCCTGGACTGGACAGTGCAAGCCTCCAGACCAATGTAGGGGTCCACCTTGAAATGTTTGTCTAGCTATACTGTTGCTCCCAGCTCTGGCAGCCTTGGGGACACAGGATACAGGAGTTAAGGGAATGCTGAGATTCTGCTATCTTGACTGCAATTCTGTTCTGGTGTTTGAGCTGTCTTGGTTTTTTGAGATACAGTCTCATGTAGTTCAGTCTGGCTTTGAATTCACTATGTAGTGTAGGATGACTTTGAACTCCTGATGGTCTTGCCTCCATTTCCTGAATGTTGAGATAATAGGCATGTTCCACCATATTTGGCTTGATGTGCTGAGGATGGAACTCATGTCTTTGTGGGTGCTAGGCAAGCACTCTACAATTGAGCCACCTCTCCAGCCTTACACCTAGCAACTTACTTGAAGTTCTCCCTTGGTTTTCTTTTCAGGCTTTCCTTTCTTTGTCCCTACCTTCAGTATAAGAGTTCTCCAAGGTCTGTCTTTGACCTTCATTTCCTTTTAACTCTCTGCTGAAGGGAGCTCTTAAGCAAACTCAGGATCAGTCAGCACAATCTTTATGTTAGTGATTCCCCACATTTCCATGTCAGGGCATTTTGCATATGTAGACTGGACATAGAGACTTGGGGATCTCCAAATTCATGCTTAAATTTATAACTGCTTGATTTGGGCACATGACTGTCCTGCCAGCACACTGGAATCAGTTTGTTCTCACCTAAGCATCAACACTTCTCTTTCAGTTGCCCCCCCCTTTCATCTAGAAACCCTATGATTGCCTCCCTCACTCCCGCATCTAGTCACTTACCAAAATGATTCTGATGATGTCACTTTTATTTTTCTTTGCGGGGGGGTTTGAGCTAGGATCTTACTGTGTAGATGAGGCTGGGCTTTTTTTGTATGTGTCTTTTTGAGACAAGGTCTCTCTGTAGCCCTAGCTGCCCTGGGGCTTGCTATATAGACCAGTCTGGCCTCGAACTCACAGAGATTCACCTGCCTCTGCCTCCCAAGTGCTGGGATTAAAGGCGAGCACCACCATGCCTGGCTGAGGCTGGGCTTTAAATTATTCTGTAGCCTAGCACTTGAACTTGAGGTCCTTCTGCCTTGGCCCTTTAAGTGTTGTAGGGATGCACCAAGATTCCTGGCTGCATGTTTCTTTATTTTTCCATTACAACTGCCTGTATCTCTCACCTTCGCTGCTGAAGCATCTTTTTCTAAAAAGTGTATGTGTGTGTTCATGTGTGGTCAGGTACATGTGTGTGTGAGGGTACACCTGTGCATGTGGGTGGGAGTGCTTGTGGAGACCAGAGGACAACACTGGGTGCAACCTCAGGAAAACCACCCACTTCCTTTGAGACAGGGTCTCTTATTGGCTTGAGCTCATCAATTAGGCTACTTTGGCCGATCAGTGAGTCCCAGGGATCCTCCTGCCTCTGCTCCCAGTTCTGGAATTACAAGTGTGTGCCACTATGCCTGGCACATGCCTTGGATTTTTATGTGGGTTCTGGAGAACATGGTTCCTTATGCTTGCAAGACAAGTACTTTACTAACTGAGCTCTCAACCCCTCTTTATTGTTTTAAATATTTTTATTACATTCATTTATTTATGGGGATGGGGTGTATGACAGAGTGTGTGGAGGTCAGAGGACGATTATGTGGGTCCTAGAGATGGAACTCAGGTTGTCAGGATTGGAGGCAAGTGCCTTTACCTGCTGATCCACCTTACTGCACCCTCTTTCCCCTCTTATTTTAAATTAAAAAAAAAAGTTCCCCCAGCACTCAGGAGACAGAGGCAGGCAGATCTCTGTGAGTTCAAGGCCATCCTGGTCTACATAATGAGTTCCAGTACAACTGGGGCTACAAGGAGACCCTGTCTCAAAAAGACCAAAAAAAAAATTACATATATGTTTTTTTGGTCTTTCTGAGACAGAGTCTTCCTGAAGCCCCAGCTGGCTGGAACTCATAGAGATCCGCCTGCCTCTGCCTCCCGAGTGCTGGGATTAAAGGTGTGTGCCACCATGCCTGATTCTAAAATTATTTTAAAATTTATGTGTATGAGTATTTTTGCCTGCATGTATGTAAGTGCATCCCTGTCATGCAATGCTTGTGGAGGCCAAAAGAGGGCATCAGATCTCCTGGAACTGGAGTTATAGACAGTTGTTAGGTGCCACGTAGGCTGTGGGTGTTGAGAACCAAGCCCTGGTCCTCTGCAAGAGCAGCCAGTGTTATTAACCACTGAGCCATCTCTTCAGCTTCTCCTCGTTTTTTGAGGCAGGGTCTCTCATTGGACCTGGGACTCACTGTTTTGGTGAGAGTGGTTGGCCAGAGAACCCCTGAGATATGACTGTCTTTGCCTCCCAGTTCTGGGGTTACAGGCATACTCTGCCACAACTGCTTTTTTTTTTTTAATATCTATCTATCTATCTCTCTATCTATCTATCTATCTATCTATCTATCTATCTATCTATCTATCTATTTATTTATTTATTGTCTTTTTGAGTGATAGCCCCAGCTGTCCTGGAACTCACTACATAGACCAGACTGACCTTGAACTCACAGAGATCCACCTGCCTCTGCCTCGGAGTGCTGGGATTAAAGGCGTGCACCACCGTGCCTGGCTTCTATTTTATTATTTTAGAGATAGGGTTTCACTCTGTAGCCCTGGCTGGGCTTGCTATGTAGACCAGGCCAACCTTGAACTCATAGAGATCTGCCTGCCTTTGTTTTCCAAGTGCTGGGATTGAAGTTATGCACCACCTTGCCTGGCTTATTTTTATTTTATGTGTATGAGTGTTTTGCCTTCATGTATGCATCTGCACCATGTGTGTGCCTGGTGTGTGTGGGAGCTGCAAGAAGGTGTTGTATTCCCTGGAACTGGAGTGACAGGCAGTTGTGAGTTGCCATGTGGGTGTTAGGAACCCAATCTGATCCTCTGCAAGAGTAGCAAGTGCTCTAACTGCTGAGCATCTACTACCCAACCCCAATATATTGCATACTTCTCTCTCTCTCTCTCTCTCTCTCTCTCTCTCTCTCCCCCCCCCTGGTTTTTTTTTTTTTTGTCTTTTTGAAATGGGTCCTCCCTGTAGTGGGGCTGGCTTGGGGCTCACTATGTAGACCAGGCTGGCCTTGAACTCACAGAGATCTGGCTGCCTCTGCCTCCCAAGTGCTGGGATCAAAGGCGTGCACCACATACTTCTAGCCATACTTCTCATATTTAAAAAAAGAGCTTTACATTCATCTCCCTAATCCAAGTCCATTCCTTCTCCAATCTTTCCATCTTCCCATTCCCTGTAAATATATTGCTTAAGCCAAACCATGATTGTCATCCTATACCTTGAAGTTCTCTGCAAGATCCATCAACTCTATCGCCAATTCATAATGTAATTTTTTTTTTTTTATTTGAGACGAGGTCTCCCTGTAGCCCTAGCTGTCCTGGAACTCACTATGTAGACCAGGTTGGCTTTGAACTCACAGAGACCTGCCTGCCTCTGACTCCAGTGTGCTGGGATTACAGGCCTGCGCCACCACGCCCGGCCCTAATATAATTTCACTTCTTTCTTCATTCTCTATATTAGTCTAACAGCCTTTTTTTTCCTTGAGCCATAGCAATTGCTTCCTAATTAATTTGCTTACTCTCCAAACCTCAAATATTAGCCAGAATGATCTTTTTATTATTTAAATCCGATCAGTT